AGTCGCATCTCTTAAATGTTGGTATATTGGGCTTTCCTTTTCATTCATCTCAAAGTATTTTTTAATTTTCCTTGTGATTTGTTTTTTCTTTGACTCATTTGCTGTTTAGAAATATGTTAATTTCCAACATATTCATGGACTTTCCAGAATTTTTATTCTGCTATAGAGGTTTAATTTTATTCCATTGTGGCTACAGAATGTGCTTGGCACGGTCTCAGTCCTTTTTTGAATTCATTTGAAACTAACACATCATCTATCCTAGAGCTTGTACCTTGTGTGCTTGAGAAGAACGTGTGTTCTGCAGTTGTTGACTGAAGCCTGTTGTAGATGTCTGTGGGGTCAGGTTGGCTGACAGTGTTGTTCAAGTCTTCTATTTCCTTGTTGGCCTTCTGCCTAGTTCTATTAATTATTGAAATAGGTATTGGAGCTATTAGTTTTGAAATGTCTAGTTCTTCGCTCAGTTTTGTTAGTTTTTGCTTTACGTGTTTTGGGTCCCTATTCTTAAGTGCACATATGTTTATAATTGTTATATCTTCCTGGTGGACTGACTTTGTTACCATTGTAAAATCTCCCTCTCTTCTCTAGTAACATTTGTAAAATATCTATTTTGTCTGATATTAGTATAGCCACTCTAGCTTTCTTAGGGTTGTTGCTTGTGTGGTATATCTTTTTCTATCCTTTTACTTTCAACCTATTAGTATCTTTGAGGCTAATATGTGTCTATAAGACAGCAAATAGTTGGACCTTATTTTTTTCTATCCTGTCTGATAATTTTTAACTTTTGGTTGTATTACTAAATTCATTCATATTTACTATTATTCTTGTTAGGTTGGATTTGTGTCTGCCATTTTTCTTTTTGTTTTTAACCATCTTATTTCTTCTTTGTTTTTCTATGTTCCTTTACTGCTTTCTTTTGCACTAAGTGGCTATTTTCTAGTGTAACATTTAAATTCCCTTATTGATTTCTCTGCACTGCATTTTTTTTTAGTAATAAGTGGTTGCTCTGAGTCTTACCATATACATCTCAGTTTATAAGAACCGACTTCAGATTTTTATTAATTTAATAATACCGAAGTATAAAAATTTTATTCCTACTTAATTCTATCCCCTCTTCCTCTTTTTGGTGCTGATTGTTATATATTATATGTGGTTATGGTAGAAATTCAACAATATATTGTTATAATTGTTACTTTCTATCATATTTTTTAAAATTAAAAACAGAATAATATGAAGTAATATCATATGAGAATACAATTACAGAGTTTGTTACACTAACTTTATTCATTCTGGTTTTCTGTATTTATTCTATTATATTTTAATTACCTTGTGGTGTTATTTCCTTAATCTAATACAATTTTGCTCCCACCCACTTGCCTTGTTGCTGTTACCATTAAATATATCACATTTCTGTGTGTCAGACCCTACAGTGCAATTATATGCATATTTTAAAAATATTTTTGTTTTATTTGTTT